AACGTCTCAAAGAATTTCCCCTAATTTCGTAAATCACCAACGAAAAATGAAACAATGATAGGACATAATAGCACTGTGAGAAGAGCATTCAATCAATGAAGCAATCGCTCACCTTGAGAAACAATCGTTGGGGAGGCGGGTATGGTTCGAACATAACTGGTGGTGATGTTCGTGGACTGACTGCTTGATGGCGACGATGAGAGGCCAGTTGACGATGATGACGATACAGCTGCAGGATTTTGAGCTGTGATAGCAGCTAGTTGTCTCGAGATGGGACCTTGTGAAGAGGACGGTGCATTCGAGAGTATTTGTCGTGAATGCGCAACACCACCCCCCGACATCAACTGACTTCCTGCAAATGGGCATCCATCTCTTTCGAAATAATCATTTATCTCTCTTTCATAATTTATTATTTTCATCCAATTAATTGACCCAATCTACTATTCATTTATCGCCAACCGAAAAAAATTACATTTTTTCAACGGCGAAGATGAAACTTTTTGAGAAGTGAATTTCGATAGTAACGGTTATTAATGAATTCAGATTCGACAAATGCACATGTAAATGAAATTACTGAAAGATTCAGAAAATAACACTTTGGACAATATTAATAAACTGTAATTTCTACAAAGTTAGTGTAGAACGATAATAATTATAAAAATGATAGTAATGATAATAATAATAATCAATAATAACAGTGATAAATAATAATAACTATAAAAATAATAGGAACTAGGTAATAAATCAATCATAATGATCAAGATAATGATAACGACGCAATGATCAAATAAACCCACCAGGTGGTGGCAACTGTCTGGTGGTACCAGACCCTCCAATAGTTTCATTATTTCTCGCGCCACTTCCACCACTCATTATGAGATTGATGGATGGCATTCGAGTACTCTGATAGCCAGATGCGATATTACGCCTCAGAGTGCCTCTTCTGAAATTAGATTTTCGTCATCACTTTACTTCGAGTCAACGTTTAGAAAACAAAAAATAATTTCTTTCTGAACGAATCTCAATAATTTGAAACCCGAAAACTGAATGAAACGCATCGAAAAGATTTAAATATATATCAACAGCTGAAAATAAGTAAGTGACTTTTCGCAAAATCAGTTCATTAAACGGAGATTCGATATACTGACAAGATCAAATCAAAAGCTCAAAAAGATAACTTACGGCACAGCACGAACTTGCTGAATGCCACCACCGCGAGACGGTACCATCATTGTAACCTACAAAACCAATCGTCTTCAATATTGCACTCCACTACATTGTAAAGTATCTCAGTTGCAATCAAAATATTTGATATCATTTCATATATCCACACACACGACAATATTTTCACTAATGTTTAATCTCTGGCTAATTGCAGTCAACACTTTTTTACTGTCGTTCATTTAAATACTCAAATACACT